TAACTATATTGTTTATGTTCTTTGCCCCATGTATCAGATTACCTTTGCAGGGAGGGGGGAAAAAAAACAGACTGAAACTGGAGGAGCAGAGAAGGAACTGGCCTTGAGTTGGGTCGAGACCCCACAAACTCTGAGATGACAGTAAAGCAGCCATAAACCAGGAAACTCTCCCACTCTCCAAACCCCTGCCAGAGAACTTTAATCACAGTCACTTTAGAACTACTACTGACAATGCCACCCTGAACTGAAGACCACTGGCCTTCAGGAAAACTCAGTAACAAAATTTCGTAGGTTAAAGTCCCAGAAATCTTGACTTGCTAAGGAGCTGGACTGATTTCCCTTTGTGGAGAATGAAGATTACATAGCTGATCATGTGATGTTAACCTTTTCACTGGAGCTGCCAGGAGGCGCATAGTCAAAATGTTTAGCTCGGTTTCTATGAAGTAAAACCAGATGATCTGTGTATCTTCACAGCAATTTTGCCTGTTGATCTTCTACTCTCTCTAAATTTCTCTAATCTTTATTTTCAACTAATTGCTCTTTCCCATTTTGTTGTGGGAAAACCAAGTGGCAAACAAGTAACTTACCTGGGACTCAATCTTATTTTTTGTTTCTCTTTGGAAAGCAATTGGGGGCGGGGTGGAGTGCAAAGAGTCTTCAGAGCTGAAGCTGAGTTAACCACTCTTCAATAGCTGGATGTGACAATGTGTTGCTTGTTAATTCATCGGTGACTTGTGTTTCTCATCTGAGCTGTAACTCCATTTCTGGAACTTTGTCCTAAGGTAATAATCATGGATGCGTACAGATATTTAATTTCAGAAACCTTCAACACAGTTTTGTCTTTAACATCATATTATTGAAAATAACGTAAATGCCCAGCACTAAAGAATGGGAAAATTATGGAAGCTCCAAAGGCTGGAAAGGCAGGTAAAAAGCAACACTCTAGATGATTAAAAGCAACACTTAAAAAGCAACACCCTTAAAAACAACACTCTAGATGATTAAAAGAGGCTACGGAAACATAGCCAGCAAATGTAAAGTATGGTCTTGTCTGGGTCTTAATTTGAACAGACAAAGAAATTTTTAGATAATCATGAAAGTTGGAACCCCGACTAGATATTTGATAAGATTAAGGAATTTAACCATTGATTATCTGAAGATACTATTGTTAATTATTTTACCTTAGAGCAACAAAATCGACCTTTAAGGCTTTAATTTTTACATAATAAAGCGTGTATAGATGAAATGATGTGTTTGGAATTTGTTTCAAAATAATAAAGACTACACATGTAGTCATTGAACTATATACAGGTCGGGTGCAGTGGGCCAGCACTTTGCAAGGCCAAGGCGGGTGGACTGCCTGAGTTCAGGAATTGGAGACCACCCTGGGAAATATGGCGAAACCCCATCTCTACCAAAAAATGCAAAAATCAGCTGGGCACGTTGGTGCGCACCTATAATCCCAGCATGTTGGGAGACGGAGGCAGGTAAATTGCTTGAGCCCAGGAGTTCAAGACCAGCCTAGGCAACATAGGGAGACATCATCTCTACAAAAAATACAAAAAATTAGCCTGTCGTGGTGGCACACACCTGTAATCCCAGCACTTTGGGAGGCTGTGGTGGGCAAACGACTTGAGTCCAGAAGTTTGAGACCACCCTGGCCAACATGGTAAAATCTGTTTCTACTAAAAATACAAAAATTAGCCGGGCGTGGTGGTGGCGCCTGTTATCCCTGCTACTAGGGAGGCTGAGACATGAGAATCACTTGAACCCAGGAGGTGGAGTTTGCAGTGAGCCAAGATTGAGCCACTGCACTTCAGCCTGGGCAATAAGCAAGAGAAGGAAGGGAGGGAGGCAGGGAGGGAAAGAAAAAGAGAGAGAGAGAGAGAGAGAGAAAGAAGAGAAAGAACAGAGGGAGGGAGGAGAGAGGGAGGGAGGAAGAAGGAAGGGAGGGAGGGAGGGAGGGAGAGAGGAAGGAAGGAAGGAAGGAGGGAAGGATGGAAGGAAGGGCGGGCATTCTGGAGGAAGAAATGAGAGGGTGGCCTAGATGAGTACTTGAATAACTTTTTCTGTAAAAGAGTCATATAGTAAATGTTTTAGATTTTGTGGGGTCTGTGGTCTCTGCTGTAACTACTCAGCCCTGCCATTGCAGGTTGAAAGTAGTGCTATACAATACATAAACTAAAGGTGCTCACTGGCTGTGTTCCAATAAAACATCATTTTTGGGCACTGAGATTTGAATTTTACATCATTTTCATGGGTCACAAAATATTATTCTCCTTTTGATTTTTTTCCAGTGATAAAAAGTATGAAAACCATTCTCAGCTCATGGTTGTATTTTTTTTTTTTTTTTTAAAGCAGCATGTCAGATTTGGCCCACTGCCCAGTTTCCCAACCCCTGGTCTAGATAAAACAAGATTGGCTGTGAGTTGATGACTGATGAGACTGGGTGGTGGGCATAATGGGGGTCCATTATACAATTCCCTCTATTTTGTGGATGTTTGAAAATTTCTATAAGAAAGGTTTATATTTAAGTATTACCATAGAAATTATCTAAGTAGTACTATGGAAATTAAGTTAATGGCATGGAAATATCGCTGTAAAATGAAGAAAAGACAGAACACAAGAACGTGTTCCTAACTGTTTAATAACAGAATAACAGGCCAGGGGTGGTGGCTCACACCTGTCATCCCAGTACTTTGGGAGGCCAAGGCAGGAGGAATGCTTGAGTCCAGGAGTGCGAGGCCAGCCCGAGCAACACAGTAAGACCTCGTTTCTACAAAAACTAAACAGAATTAGCCGGGCGTGGTGGCACACACCTGTAGTCTCGGCTACTT